TTCCAGCCGGGTGGTGGCGGCTCATGCCTTTAATCCCAGCACTCAGGAGGCAAAGGCAGGCGAATCTCTGTGAGTTAGAGGTTAGCCTGGTCTACAGAGCGAGTTCCAGGACAGGCGCCAAAACAATACAGAGAAACCCTATCTCAAAAAACTAAAAGCTTCCTTTTTATTTAGACAGAAAAGAGAAGATGTGGGATATGTCCTTGTGTATGTCGTGAACATATGTTTCTCTTATTGGTTGATGAATAAAGCTGCTTTGGCCAATGGACAGGTAGGATTTAGCCAGGTGGGAAATCCAAACAGGGATAGAGAAAGGTAGTAGGTGGAGCCAAGGAGATGCCATGTAGCTACTGGGAAGGTACGATACCCAGACATTCTTTGATAAGCCAAGACTATGTAGAGATACACAGATTAATAGAAATGGGTTAATAATTAAGAGCGCTAACCAATAAGAAGCCTGAGCATTAGGCCAAACAGTTTATAATTAATATAAGCCTCTGTGTATTTATTTGGGACTAAGTGGCTGAGGGACTGGGTGGGACAGGAACTTCTGTCTACAGCATAGGGAGCCCCTGTGAGAACCTGGGTTAAAAAAAAAAAGGGTGTGTGTGTGTGTGTGTGTGTGTGTGTGTGTGTGTGTGTGTGTGTGTGTGTGTGTGTGTGATGTGCCCTTGAGCAGAACATCTTCTGCAGAACGGTTCTTCCCACAGAACAAAGGTAGTCTTTGTTCCTACCCTAGAGGCAGTGGCTTGGAATGCGCATCTTACTGGGCCAAAAGCTAATCCAGTCTGCCAGAGAGCAAGTATAAGGAGAGGAGTGGATTTCCCACATGGCCAGGGACCAACAGGGAAAAAAACTCAGCTCCTCCTCCGCCAATGCACCAGACCAAAGGTTTCTGGACCCTGATACTGGGTTTCTCCTCCAGTGTAATACACGAGATCAGGCTGCATTAAAAGTTCAGGTTTAATGAACAAAGCACTCCTGGATGATTCTCAGGGGGAGAAAGCAGGGGAGAAATAATGTGGCAAATCTATGGGCTGGGTCTTAAGTACCCTATAGGCGTGGTCTCGAGCATCTGAGGGGGAGGAGCTGCCTCTTGGCGGGCTTTCTCAGAGGCGGGGTCTGGAGAGAGAGAGAGATAGGACCAAAGCAGAACTCCCACCTACACACCTTTCACCTTTGGAATGTGTTTGTGCTCCTCAAACACGGAAGTCGTTCGCTAAACACGCAAGTCCTGGCTCTGAGTCACTGTCTCTATTCCTGTGCTGAGCCCAGATATCTGAATGTCTAAGCTCAGACAACAGCTGAGTGGGTTGTGTTGGACAATTCCCTAGAAGCCAGTGAAGTAGAGAGAGGCATGGCAGAGCTCAAGTTTTCCTCCAGCTCCACTTATTCCCAGCTGTGTGACCTTGAATGAATCCCTACTTCTCTGTTTCTCTATCAGTTAGCAAAGAAATGCTTTAGGTACAGGCTTACCGAATTTGAGGAGATTCAGAACTCATAACATGGTTGAAAACATTAGGGAAGTGTAATCTGAGGATTTTCATACAGTCCAGGTATTTCTGGACTCTTTAGTTCTGTAGACTCGTGGTGACAATCTCTTAGGATAAGTGTCCTTAGAGACTTGTGCTCTGGTGAGATGGAGCGTGTCCTCTGTCAGGTAGCAGTTTCAGAACCGGGAAAGGCATGTTTGGTGCTGGGCATAGAGAGGCAGGTGGGAGAGGGGAGAGGGCACAAGGGCTCACAGATAAGCAATGTGAGTCACGCAGGGCTGTCTCCTCACTGAGGAAATGAAGGCCTGTTTTCCATCCAGAAGGCTGGGAGTGGATGTTGTTAATGGCCTGGGGACTTCACTATATGTGGAGCCAGACCTCACCCAGAATGCTTATCCCAGATTTTCCCCCTCTAGACCTTTATCTTTAGTTTTGTTTCTCAGCCAGTAGAGCCTATCCTTAGGGGAGATGTCACCTGTACTTTACAGCCAGCGGACCAGTGCCCACCAGGATTGTTGCTCTGCTGGCCATGACACCTGCAGGGACTCCCACAGGGGAGTGTTTGAAAGTAAGTACTCAGAGTTCAGTAGTGAAAGTAAAATTCTGTGAGGGACCAGGGGCAGCAGTACCCACTAAGCAGGTGCATGTCTGAGGCAGATACACCCAATGGCGAAGGGCAAGCGTCTTGACTCAAAGGAAAGGCTGGGAAACATAAGGAAGCTCAGTGAATCAGGAGGCCTTGGCCTTCATCCTGAGGAGAAGTTATCAGTCTGGCCAAAGGGAAACTGCACTGAGAGAAGAAGGAAACTCACATGAAAAGCAAAGAGGTGTGGAAGCCAGCCCCAGTGACTAAGGCAGAGACACTTGAAGCCAAGGTGGGGCAGAGGGAGCCGGGCTAGCACTGGGGTTTCCGGTCATGTCACGAGGGCTTTGAGACTCTTTCACTTTCACAACGAAGGTCCCTTCCTTTCTGAGTAAATTACAAGGAAGTCTTTGAATCGCTGCGGGAATGACGGGGTTATCAGAAGTGTATAGCCGAGGAGGAACAGACCTCGGTGTCTGCACTGGGACGTACTGTGTAGACACGGTGTAGGCAGGTCAGGAGTGTGGAAGCGTCAAGCGAAGAGACTGATAGCAAAGTTCATACAGAGGAGAGAAATAGGGGTGAAGGCCTGCTTGCTGAAAGCTGCTTCAGAGGCAAGAGGTGATGTTTGACGGGGTACCACCACCTCTGCCCTCTACCATAAACAAGAACATCCAAGGCACTATGAGACCTCCAGAGATCCACAAGGATGACACCAGCTGGCAAACCAAGCAGTAGTGGAGAGATTACCTTAAATGCCCCTCCCTGATAATGATTTTGACGGCTATCTTATATACTATCCTAGAACCTCCATCCAGTGACAGACGGAAGCAGAGGCAGACACCCACAACTAAACACTGAACTGAACTCCTGGAACCCAGTGACAGAGAGGGAGGAGTGATGAGCAAAGGGGTCAAGACTGGGCTGGTGAAACCCAGAGAAACAGCTGACCTGAACAAGGGGGAGATCTTGGACCCCAGGCTGATGGCTGAGAGGCCAGCATGGAACTGATCCAGACGCCCTGAACGTGGTGTCAGTTAGGAGACCTAGGCAATCTATGGGGCTTTGGGTAGTAGATGGTGTTTGTCCCTGGCACACAGATGGACTTTGGGTGCTCATCCCACAATGAGGGATGTTTTCTTAATCTGGATACTTTGGGGAGGGCCTGGGCCCTACCAGGAACGAAATGACAGACTCTGAAGATCCCTCATGGAGTGCCTTACCGTCCCTAGGGAATGGAGTGGGGATTGGGTGGGGGGCTGGGGAGCTTGGGGGGTGTAGACGTGGAGGGGAGAGAGAGAGAGAACTGGGACTGACATGGGAAGCAAGCTTGTTCCTAATTTAAATATATAATAATAAAGTGTTTTAAAAAAAAAGAACATCCGAGATTTTTGGAAGCACCCCTATGCCATCTCCTAGGCCAAATTGCCAATGTCATCCCTGTCTCCTGTTCTCTACTTGGAGGAAGGGATGGGAAAGTCAATAGACATTGCCTTCCTTCTTCCACTGCTGTGTTTCTGTGATACTGAATCAGTATCAGTTTACATAGCACCGCAATAAAGGGCTTACACCTGCTGACAGGGATGCCCTCTCGGCACCCCAGAAGGGAGACTTGACTGGACTGTGGAACTGCCATAATCACTGAGGAAGAATTCTCAGAAAAAACAGTGCTGAGGACTGATGACAAGTAATTTTACATGATAATGTAAATGCAGTATGTGTCATGGCCATAAACACCGCAGCTAGCAGCTGTGGTGGCGTAATCTTTTTGCACACTGAGAAGGTGTGACTTTGCCAAGGGGCCTTTTGATTAGTTTAACAAAGTGCTGAATGGCTAACAGTTAGGCAGGAGAGGCTAGGTGGGATTCTTGGGGAGAGAGAGGAAGAGGAGTTAGCATCTAGGTGCGTGGGAGACGCCAGTGAAACACTAAAGAGGTCGGACATATGGCACAGAGGAGATGTAACAGCCATGAGACAGAATGCAGCTTCATAGAAACAGGTTAATTTAAGTTATAAAAGCTAGTTGGGGAAAAGCCTAACCTAAAGCCAAGCTTTTATATTTTTAGTAAGTCTTCCTGTCCACAAGAAGCCCTTTGATGAGGAAAGAGTTTATTTCAAGTAAATATCCTGATCACAGGGCATCACTGAGGGAAGCCAGGTAGGAACTCAAGCAGGCTCTGGGGCAGGAGTCAGAGCAGGGACCACAGAGGCTTATTGACTCTCTCTGTTTTCTGCATGGCCCGGAACCACCTGCTCAGGAGTGGCACCATCCACAGTGGGCTGGACCCTTCCATGTCAATCACTAATCCAGAAAATTCACACACAGGCTCACCTACCGGGCCAATCTGATGGGGGCACTGTCTCAGTTGGGATTCCCTCCTCTCAGATGACTCTAGTTTGTGTCAAGTTGGCAAAAGAACTAACGACATGGTGTGCAATAATAAAAAGTAGGGAAACAAAGCTAAGGTTATGTGAAAATGGTTTTGAGTCCCCAGGCATTTCTCCCTGTGTTACACTTTTGTCTAAGAGTATGTATGTTTGCCAACTTTTTATTATTACACACATACACATAAGTACATATACACATATTGGTACTTGTTAAAATACGTATGCATTCTAGTGATACTACATGCATGTATATGTATGTACAAATGTACAAACACATGTGTGTCCATTGTTATGTGTGGCCATTATACATATGCACAAACATTTTGGGGCACACTCTTTTTTCATGAGGGTGGTAAGTGACCATAAAGACAGTAGTGCATAGGGCTTTCTTGATTGGCTCTCACTAATGTTTGCCCACTTAAAGCAAACCTCTGCCTTGCCCATTCCATGTTTTATCATTAGTCATTGCTCATAGGAGTTAATGTTTATACCTGATAATAAAGAAATCAACAAGTACTGGTGTGTGGTCAGCATCTGTGAGTGAGTAGTCATCTATAAAACAGCAAACAGTGGATGACTTGGCAGGCAGAACTGTGGTGGTTAGCTGTGCAAAAGGAACCTCGCTACCTTCATAAGTGCCTGCAAGATGAGCCAAACGGAGCATATTAGAATAAGCAAGATTACAACAATAACAGGTAAGTGCTAGACTGGGCGCCGAGGTGTAGGTCGTAGGAGTGAAGGTCTGGCCCTGCTGTTGGCCGATGTTCAAGATCAAATGTTGAGGTGGGAGGAGAGGCTCAGCCTGTTCCAAACTGGGTAGAGTAGACGTTATTGGCTGTTGGGTCTCTTGCCACTTGTGCTATTACTGACCAGATGAAGCTATTCCAGAAGCAGAGCAAACAGCACTACTTAGTGTGTGAGCTAACGGGATCTCATACCTGCTGCTGTTTCATTGCATGACTTAGTGCAAGTTTTTTAAAGATTTTATTTTAAAGTGTGTGTGTGTGTGTGTGCACATGCGCGTGCATGCAGTGCCTGAGGAAGCCAGAAAAGAGTGTTGGATCCCCTTGTGAGTGGTTGTGAGCCACTTGACCCAAATGCTGGAAACCAGACTTTGGTCCTCTGCAAGAGCAGTACCTGTGCTTAACTGCTGAGCTATCCCTCCAGTCCCATGTTCACATTTTTATTCATTCATTCATTCGTTCGTTCACTCAGAAAAAACTGGCTCAGGAACAATGCTTGACATATAGACCAGGGAGACAGATTCTGGTGAGCCATAACCTTAAAACCACGGTTTAAAGACAGGAGCATCCTCTAACATGTACGACTCCGTAGCTGGCACTGTCATACTTTGGTACCTCTTTGAATCATCATGATAACACTCTGAGTTGATCACGTTATTTTTCCATGTTATAACTGAAGTAACTGAAGCCAAGAAAGGGGAAATATGAGCCAGGTCACACTGTGGGGAGTGTTTGCATTTGAGTTAGAAGTAGGTGCTGGATCCTGGGGACCCCATTTTAACTTCCTACACCTCCCAGGGTAGAGAAGGCTGTGGAAGACTCAGTGGCTATCAAGGCTGAGCCCGGGACCCAGGCAGTCCCAGGCAGAGGGTGGTGATGTGTTCAAGAAAGAGGGATCCCTATGAGCAGAGGTGCAATGTGACAAGGGAGTGTGCCAAGAGGGAAAAGAATGGAAACTGCAAGGACAGGGAAAGGAGGACTCCCAGGGCCGTCCCAGCACTCAGCCTCTTCTGTAGGCAGTTACGTCACTTACTGCTCCAGCATCTCGGCTGTGAAAGGATCCTTGATCCTGCTGTCAACCTGATTGCTCTCCACAAACCTCCATTCCCATCAAAGCACAGGTGTGCTCTGAAGGCTGCAAAGCCCTAGGGTAGGGAGGGGGGTTTTCAGCAATATCTTCCTGAGAGCCTAGACCCAGAGATCACAGGATGCTTGGGTGAGCTCAGCAATGCCTGGGACAGTCCTGGCCCAATTACTAATAGCCGCCTCATCACGTCGGGGTAATTTGATTTGGAAGATAAACATTCTGGGCCCTCTGCTAGAGGATACAGTGTTCCCATTCCAAGACCCAAGCCACTAAAGGAGGAGGGAATGGGCAAGGGGAGTGACTGACAAGCAGAGAGCCATGGAGGGACGGGTGATCTGGCCACAGGATGGCCCTTAAATGACTTGGTGGCGGGGATGCAGCTCAATTGCAGAGTGCAGACTCTAGCACTACATAAGCCAGGCATAGTGACACATGCCGGGAATCCCAGCACTGGGAGGTACAGACAGGAGAATTAGAATTTTAAGGCCATTGTCAGCTATCTGGTGAGTTTGGGGCCAAATGAGGTCCTGTGTTTAAAAAAAAATATTAACCTGGAAAGACAGCAGCAGGTCTTGCCACTGACCTGTCAGAATGAGAGTGTGAGGCCCCTGGGTTGCCTGCTCTTCCAACTGTTTCTTTTATGACCTTGAAGAGACAGAAATTTTGAGGTCCACTAAGCCTGCTCCAGCCATCCAAAAGCCGCCCAGTAAACCCGCTCCAGCCATCCAAAAGCCGCCCAGTAAACCTGCTCCAGCCAAACCGCCCAGTAAGCCAGCTCCAGCCAAACCGCCCAGTAAACCCGCTGCAGCCAAGCCGCCCAGTAAGCCAGCTCCAGCCAAACCGCCCAGTAAGCCCGCTCCAGCCACCCCAAAGCGGTCCACTCAAAAGAAGGTGAAGGTATGTGGCATCTCTTCCAGGTTCCAGAACAGTAGCTGGAGCCAGGCCCCAGGGCTCAATGCCTCAGCGCTTTCACCTCACAGTCCCCTAACAAACACCGTGTCTCTGGTGCCACCTCTTGGCTCTGAAAGAAGACGCTCTCATTGTCTCAGGGCTGATCAGGCATCATCGTGTCCCGATCTCTACTGTGTGGTTGGATGTGGGGAAAACGTGCACAGAGCAGGATCCTAAGTCACGGGGTCTCCCAGGAACAGTGCTCCGGGCTCTCAGAGTCCTCCAAGGGGAGCCCAGAACCGGGGCAAATCCCTGTCAGTGAAAACCTTTATCTGAGCCAGGGCAGCTTCGCCTCCTCAGGTAGTGGTTCCAGGCGGCAATGCCATCTGGCTGTGGGCTGTGTGAGTGGTGACAGGTGATAGCAGCGAGATCCAGGTGCTGCGGGTCCTGTCACCTGCCGCTCCTTGTGAAGCCTGCACAGCCCAGGGTAGTCAGTTCACCGTGTGTCTGCCCTCTCTGTGCCTGCCTTTCCTGGCAGCCTGTGCCTCAGGCACAGCAGCAGTCTCTTTACCTCTTCTGATGGCTCCTTATTTCTGCCTCTTCACCTACAGAATTCCAAGTCAAAGTGAGGAATGGAAGAGCGTTCTCCTGGTCTGCTCAGAGCAAGAGGTAGGCTGCCAAATGCTATCTATAGGCCTTTTCCAAGGGCCCACCGTGGAGGCAGATATTTAACCTTGGCCAATGTCTCTGGCATTGCTCTGGCTTACTTCTTTTATGTATTCATGCCCTCATTCATTTTTCCATTCATTTATTTTGAGCCTGTATCTTGTCATGGATTCCTTAGAGGTGTCAAACTCAGTATCTTTCTGCTTCTGCCTCCTGAGTTCTCAGCCTTTGTTTGGGAGGCACTTAAGTATGCTCTGCTTGTTTCTAGAGCACATCCCATGAGTTTAAATGCTGATTAAAGAGGTCCAGGAAGTTTCTTCCGTCCACAAGTTCACCCCATTTCCATTGAATGCCAGAAAATTGTGGGTCGGGAGATTGCAGGTTGAGAGTATAGAGACAAGACATGTTGTTGTCATCTGATCATGTGTGGAAATAAAGTTCACGCAGGGCCTTCCTCCACCTGAACCCTTTCTCACAGGACAGTGAGGATTTACACTCAGTACATCTGCAGCCATCTTGTTCTGACAAAACCAGGGCCAACTATTAGGGTGACTTTCTGACAGATAGAAGAGCAGTGTCTTGAGGAAGGGGCACCCTTTCCTAATTCACCTGGTGCCTCCCACCTCCAGGCTGCCCTTCCGCTCCCAGGGTCAGCCTCTCCTCCTTGCCCACTCCCTGCCTCTCCTCCTTGCCCACTCCCTGCCTCTCCCCCATCCCAACAGCACCTAAATGGGATGGAGTGAGATGTACTTGGCGCATGAGACACAGGTCAGGATATACAGAGCACAGCTGGCCTTTTCTGTCTCTGCTGGGATGGGAGACAGAAGTCCATTCAATCCAGAGATGTCCCCAGACTTCATTCCATCTGCAGATCTCCTATCCAGGAGGCCTCAGTGCCTCCTGCATCCTTACTTCCCATCAGTGCAAAACCTCCAGGAGGGAGGTTTGTTTGAGCAAAAGCTGGGCTCTTTCCTTGCTGTTTCTTTTGATTATGGCAGAGTAATTAACAGCCACAGTCTTTCCTCTGCCTCAGCACTAACCAACAAGCCACAGAGGCTGCCGTCTTCCACAACACAGGTGCCTAATGAATGCCTCTGCCCACACAGCATTAATGTGGAGTCCTCACTTACACAGCAGAACAGGGCAGCATAGAGGAGCCATCTTGCTTTAGTCTCGGTCTATCACCTGATTCAACACACCACACAAGTCCTCCTGTCCTCTGGGAGAGAGGTGGACAATGGCTTTCATAATCAGGTCATCCAAAATCCTCCAGCTGGTAAGGGTAGAACCAGAGGGCTGGAGAGATGTCTCAGTGGTTAAGCTCTCATTGATGCAGGAAACCATTCTTGACTGCCAGGTACTCCACATGGGTAAGGGAAATAGCAAAGACACAGTGTGGTATTCTAGAAAAAAATCAAAGAAAATGGGCATTTTAGGGAGGCTTGTTTTGTGTGCTAACACATTTGGGGTCACTTGGGGAAATGACTTCATTTGATTTATATTCAACATCAGATAAACATTGCATGGTTTCTTTTCTCACTTTCAGAGAAACTATCTTCAGGAGGATCAGCAAAAGACTTCAGATAATTTGCCACTTCATCTTTCATTATGTAAAATTAATAAAGAGAGTTTTATTTTGAAACATATCTTCTTGAAGGCTTCCCATCAATGATGCTATTTTTGTGCATGGACACGCGTGTGTGCGTGTGTGTGTGTGTGTGTGTGTGTGTGTGTGTGTGTGTGTGTGTGTGTACAAGAAGGTCAGAAGATGTTAGCAGATCCCCAAGCTCTGGAGTTTCAGACAGTTGTGAGCTGCCCAACGTGGGTGTTTGAAGGTCAGACTCTGGTACTCTGGAAAAGCCACCAAGCACACGTGATCACGAGCCATCTATCTGGCCCCAGATTCTCCTCTTATGTGAAGGTTTGGAGATGGGTGCCAGATTTGAGAGAAGTGATTCAGATGGGAGTTCCCTCCATATTACAGGCAGAGCAAAAATCAGGAAGGGGAAGGAGTTCCCAGAAAGCTAATTAGTTCCAGGAAGCTAGAGGCTTGTATTGGTTGATTTGAATTGCATTTCTCAGAAAGTCATCCCTGAAGTCCTAACTCTCCACTCACACCCAGATTACTGCAGATATGATCGCCAAGAATTAGATCACAATGAAGTGGGAAACACTAGCTCAATATGACTGGTGTTGCTCTGTAAATGGGAAATTTGGAAACAGAGACACACCTGGAAAGTGTACGGGAGGCCAGGAGAGCAATCTGGAACAAGCTTATCGCTCAGAGGAAGCTGGGCCCTGCTCACTCTGCATCGCACACTTGTAGCCTCCAGAACTGTGGGTCCAATAAAGACTGCTGCTTAAGAAACCCAGGGTGTCATTAAAACACCAGCACAATTATTCACAGACCTTGAAAGAACAATAATCAATTTTGTATGGAAAAACAAAAGACCCAGGATAGCCAAAACAAGCTTATTCAACAAAGCAACATCTAAAGGCATCACCATCCCTGACTTCAAACTCTATTATAGAGCTATAGTCCTGAAAACAACTTGGTATTGGCACAAAATTAGACAGGTAGACCAATGGAATTGAATTGAACACCCTGATATTAACCCATACATGTATGAACATCTGATCTTCAATAAAGAAGCTAAAAATATACAATGGAAAAAAGAAAGCATTTTCAACAAATGGTGCTGTTGTAACTGGATGCTGGCATGTAGAAGAATGCAGATAGATCCATGTCTATTGCCATGCACAAAACTTAAGTCCAAATGGATCAAAGACCTCAACATGAATCCAGCCACACTGAACCTGTTAGAAGAGAAAGTGGGAGGTACCCTTGAACAAATTGGTACAGGACTGCTTCCTGAACATAACACCAGTAGCACAGACACTGAGATCGAGAATTAATACATAGGACCTCTTGAAACTGAGAAGCTTCTGTAAGGCAAAGGACACAGTCAACAAGACAAAAAGACAGCCCACAGAATGGGAAAAGATATTCACTGCCCACATCTGACAGAGGGCTGATCTCCAAAATTTACAAAGAACTCAAGAAGCAAGTCTCCAAAACACCAAAGGATCCAATTAAAAAGTGGGCTACAGAACTAAATAGAGAATTCTCAATAGAGGAGCTGGTGGGAGTGTCAACTCCTACAGCCACTTTGGAAATCAGTATGGAGATTCCTCAGAAAAATGGGAATAAACCTACCACAAGACCCAGCAATTCCACTCTTAGGCATATATCCAAAAGATGCACATTATACAACAAGGACATCTGTTCCACTATGTTCATAGAAGCATTATTTGTAATAGCCAGAACTTGGAAGCAACCTAGATGCCCCTCATCTGAAGAGTGAATAGAGAAAATGTGGTACATTTACACAATGGAGTACTATTCAGCAGAAAAAACAATGGAATCCTGAAATTTGCAGGCAAATGGATGGCACTAGAAGAAACCATCCTGAGTGAGGTAACCTAGTCACAAAAAGATAAACATGGTGTATACTCTCTCATATATGGATTTCAGATATAGATTTGAGGAGTGCCAGACTACAATCCCAGAACCAGAGAGACTGGGGAACAGAACCTTCATCCAATGGTTGATGGAAGCAGAGGCAGACTCCCACAGCTAAACACTGAGCTGAACTCAAGAAATCCAGTGACAGAGAGGGAGGACTGATGAACAAAGGGGTTAATAATGGGCTGGTTTAACCCCCAGAAACAGCTGACCTGACAAGGGTTAGTTCTTGAATCCCAGACTGATGGCTGGGAGTCCATCATGGGACTGATGAAGACCCCCTGAACGTGGGTGTCAGTGAGGAGGCCTAGGGTAGTAGATCAGTATTTATCCCAGGTATACAAATGGACTTTGGACTCCCATCCAACAATGTGAGATGCACTTTCACCCTGCACTTTTGGGGGAGGGTCTAGGCCCTGCCCTGGATGAAATGACAGACTATGAACACCCCCATGGAGGGCCTCACCCTCCCTGGGGAAATGAGGGGGTATGGGGGGTTTGGAGGGAGGGCACGGGAGGAGGGGAGGGAAACGGAGAGGGACCTGGAATCGACATGTGAAGCAACCTTGTTTCTAATTTAAATAAATAAATAAGAAACCCAGGGTGTGGAACAATGTCAACTATAACAAATGAATCCAGTTCTCAGACACCATGGCTCCGGAAATGTACCATATCTACCTGCACAGTGTCTTTAAGCACCGGAAGTGGAGTGGGACCAGAGTAGGCCCTGATAAAGGATTGCCTGCATCTTCATGTTAGAGGTGACACTGTCACTTGCGCCTTGGGCTATTTCTCACACACTTTGTAGCACATCCTTGTCTCAACTCTCAACAAAATTTCATCCTTCAAGGAGTGGTCTTCTCCCCAGCCCCACAGCATTCGAGTCTGCTTGCACAGCACGAGCGCAGCCATAATGTACAAATGGATGACTGCGTTTTAAGGAAGCTGTATTTATGGGCACTGAATTTATATATTTCATATGCCATAAGATATTGCTTATTTTGATATTCCATTCTGAAACTGTCTCGTATAGCTCAGGCTGGGCCTGAACTAACTGTGTAGCCAAAGCTGACCCTGAACTTCTGATCTTCCTGACACTACATCTTGAGTCTGCTGAACGTTTATGGATGTCAAAACCATTCTTAGCTGACCAACTGCAGAAATAAGGCGAAGGCTGATTCAGCTCACAGATCTTATGATGCTGATCTCAGCAATGGCTGCCTCTCCCAGTTCAGTTAGCTTATGCTACACGTTCTTAGCAATATGCTCAGCCTCCACTTCCCCTCACAATTTAATTACCACCTCCTCCCAGTTTGATAGCTGCGAGTGTCCTCTCTGTCTGTCTCCAGGGTCACCAGCAACAGTCCTTGGAGCTGAGTTTCCTCATGGGCATACTCTCATTCACAGAGCTGAAATGGAGTTTTGGGGTATTAAAAAGACTGGAAGATGGGGCTGGAGAAATAGCTCAGTGGTTAAGAGCGCTGGCTGCTCTTCCGGAAGTCCTGAGTTCAATTCCCAGCAACCACATGGTGGCTCACAACCATCTGTAATGAGATCTGGTGCCCTCTTCTGGCCTACAGGCATACATGCAGGCAGAACACTGTATACATAATAGATACATAAATAAATATCTTTAAAAAAAAAGAAGACTGGAAGAAATAGTTTCTGCATTTCTGTTAGAACTTGGAGCTGCAGAGAATAAAGATAATATACCAGTCACACATTCCAGACTTCTGAAGAACTAAATAAAGAGTTATGAAATATTAGAAGTACATTTGACATACAGGCATGATCATGTCTGCTTTAATCTCAGGACTTGGGTGATGGAGACAGGAGGCTCAGTTCAGGGCCATCTTCAACTACACAGGAAGTTAAAGGGAAGCCTTGGTTAAATGAGACAGGGTCTCAAAAGAAAACAATAAAACCGAGAAAAATAGAAACATGTAAGATGGTAAATCATTTCAAATATAGGAAACTTTTTACATAAAACACAAGATCATAAGAACACAATATGGCTTACACAATTAAAGTTAAGAGAATACAAAACTCACCCAGTATTAATAATAAGAAAAATCCTGATCAGGGCTGGGGAGATGGCTCAGAAGTTAAGAGCATTGACTGCTCTGCCACGTGTCCTGAGTTCAATTCCCAGCAACCACATGGTAGTTCACAATAATCTGTAATGAGATCTAGTGTCCTTTTCTGGCATTCAGGCAGAACATAATAAATAAATCTTACACACACACACACACACACACACACACACACACACACACACACACACCCCAAGTAGTTGCAAAGAAGGGTCAAGGACCTTTAACAGGCAATTTACAATATAGGTTTACTTTCTCTGAAATTGAAAGGAGAAGGGCACATAAGATGAAGTTCCCCAATACAAAAGAGCTATCAAAAGTAGCACTGGTCACACCCACAGCTTTAGGATGTGACGGAAGTCTCCAGCTTCAGTGGTGGAGATATATAAACTAATGAAGTCTGTGATGGATACCACTTGACAGCATCCCTTAACATGGTCAGTGTGAAGTCCTAGCACCTAGCAACACCATTGGGTGTCTCCTGGAAAGATTATTGTACACGTGAACAGAAAGTATAGCGGATGTGGCAAGCATAGGCTGGGCATGGCTGTACAACCTCCTGTAATGCCAGCAACTGAAAAGCAGAGACAAGAGGATCGGCCTACCCAGTCTGAATAAGCAAGCGGCTTGGGGATGCAGCTCAGTAGCAGGCTGTAGGTTGGGTGTGTCCAGGTTCTTGGTCCTCTCTCATCCATTGAATTAAAGTAAGTCTCCCAGACTCGATTCAGAACTAAGGGATAGTATAGGCTATAGAGAGGTACATCATCAAGATGAACTGTGGGCCACGTGAGTACTTGAGGGCCCCAGGCCACAGCCTGCTGTCTTCTTGTACTGGGTTTAAAAGGAGGATTGGCTACTATCGGGCATAGTTTGGGTAGCTCTCTATTTTGATTGACAGATTAAGTTATGTCTTTTAAATGCCCATGCCTCTTCCCACACTGCATTTAATTTTTCTCATATACATGCCCAATTATGCACAAGCACAGGTTCTCCTCACAATTTCACGTGAGGACACAGTTTGCCTTTC